CCCCCCAACCTGGAGGGGTCCCCCCTACCCGCAGGGGGAAGTTTTGAGGGAGTACCAAATTCAGCCAGAGCGCCATAAAGATAGCTCGTTTTCATGCAGTCAAAAGCAGCTTTCAAATCGATGAGAATATGATGCATGCCGGTTTACTTTTCACGGGTATTTTCCAAGTTTTGGTGCATGGTGGACTGTTGTTGAATTTCCAGGTCTAAAGCCACACTGGTAAGGTATAATCAGTTTGTTGTTATACTTTAGATGGATGGTCAATGTCAATGAAACTTCTGCACCATCGTCATCGATTGGGGAGTAATATTCACCATCTCTTGGTGTTAAGTTTGCATTGTCATTCAGAAGGCTGGAGAAGTGTTCCTCTATAGTTTTAGTATGCTCTGGGCATCAGATCACCTCTGGGGGTTCTACAAGAGTACCTTACGGTCTTGAAACCTTCTGTTAGTCGCTGCATTTATTCGAAGAAATTTCAAGCATTCCTCTTTTATCATGCTCTTCATACTCAAGCATTTCGGTCTCTATGTTTTTGTCTACAAATTCGTCTCACCTCTTCAACTCTCGGTATATATCCCATATCTTATGTTTGTGGTCGATTGTTCTCATCGTACCAGTTGTTTTTTTGGCTTTTGCGAAAACCAATGGTTTCGTTTGCGTTGGAGCTTGAAATGCCGTCCAACGAATTAGCTAGTTAAAATATAGATTTTTATTTGCATAATTGTTCAAGTAATCCAAAATAACGAAATTCGGACTTCAAAGAATACTCTTTTTCTACAACATTAGTGATTGTTCTCAGCTTTCCTTTCCCAATGAAAGTTGGTAAAACATACACTATTTCATAACAAGGCATTTTATGAACATGTGGAACACCACAAATATTTCGACAGATATGTGGCATACGACACAAACACTGGATATACATTCTACGTCAGTACGCAACGTCTAGAAGTTGGTGGTATATGCATAGGTATAGTGAAATAATTTAGTTTATGGCAGAACATTTAAACCAAAATATATCACGCGCCAGTATATAGAAAGATATGCTGTTGTTGTTTACCTGTTGCGTCGTACCAGCTAGCCAAATTAAATTATTATGCAACATAGAACTAATTTGCGAGTGAACTTAAGGTGTAATCCTATTTTCCCAAGCAAAGGCTAGTACACATATTCTTGACTAATACACAAGTCATAGCAACGTAAGAGTAGCTGAGTACTAAAATTCACCTATGCTTCTTTTACATTGCAGATTTCGAAGCCATAATGCCGAAGTAGATGTCCCTGCTGGCCAGCACTTTGCGGTTACACTGCTGTAATACTTTTACAACCGAAAACCACTTTAAGTGCAGCTTTTGGCAAAAATCGAAAAGTGACTGAACTATAAATACCAAACATACAACGACCATACTGGTCACAATCCTTCGACGTTGCACATAGTGAATGACAAAATGACAACGCCCACACACAATGAGTATGCAGACATTGAACTGTCCACGCTGGAAATTGGCGGCAGCAGTAATAAAACGGATCCCATTTACTCCATCAAGCCGGATTTCATAACGCAATGGTGAGTACGCAATTCCTTAATTTACCATATCTTAATTGAAATCCTGTAACGAAACTTCAAAATACCGCAGGCGACAGAAGAAGGAGCGTGAAAATATTTGCAAATCCATTTTCAATCGCTTCGTCGAGCATACCGAATGCAAGCGTCTGCTAGAGGCTGCGCAATTGTATCATCCCTTCATCGGCGAGAATGGTGAACTGAACATTTGGAATGCCAATATCGATATGGATATGCTGGCGACCTATAGCAACCGCAGCCTGAACTATAGCCTCTTGGAAGATTTTACGAATGTGACTACACGCGGTCCCACGCCCTCGCAAGTACTGCCACCGTTTGCGCTCTGGCAGAGCATTCTCATCGCACTGTGTCTATCGATTTGCATTATCTTGACGGTGGGCGGTAATGTGCTTGTACTGCTTGCCTTCATTGTAGATCGCAATATACGACAACCGAGCAATTATTTCATTGCATCTTTGGCGGCCACGGATGTGTTGATCGGTAAGTTTGTGATTGAGTTTGGCGTAAAATTCAGTTGTAGCTATTTTCCTCTCTTGCAGGTTCCATTTCAATGCCTTTCTACACGATATACGTGTTGATGGGCTACTGGGATTTGGGACCATTGCTTTGTGATCTTTGGCTCTCTGTGGACTACACGGTCTGTTTGGCGTCACAATACACAGTGCTGCTTATAACCATCGATCGTTACTGTTCGGTGAAGATCGCGGCAAAATATCGTAGTTGGCGCACCAGAAAACGTGTGATTTATATGGTCACCATTACATGGATTGTGCCGGCGTTGCTGTTTTTCATTTCTATTTTTGGTTGGGAACACTTTACGGGCAAACGTGATCTCTTGCCTGGGCAGTGTGCTGTACAGTTTCTTAAGGATCCAGTTTTCAATACGGCGCTCATTATCGGCTACTACTGGACGACGCTCATAGTCCTATTTATCTTGTACGGCGGTATTTATCGTACCGCCTACGAAATGCAGAAACGCAGTGAGGCCAAACAGCGGAAAATGCAGTCGATGGTGGCGCTAAGTGCAGGTGCCATGTCTGGTATGGCCGGACATGCGGCTGGTATAGGTGTGATAGAAGAAAAAATATTGAAAACCCAAGTAGAGATCGGTGGCAACACGACGAAGGATGGTAACAATTGCAGTGGTGCGACAAAACGTGGCTCAGGTCAGATGAACCCGCTAGCACAAGCCGAAGCTGTCAACGGCACTGCCGGTGATGGCGTCAACGAGCAGCGTCGCATTTCAGAAGGTAAAATGGAAAATGGTAAACGCGATGGTGGATCTGGTGAAACAGAGAAAAGTGAACGCTCCAGCAGCCCGGCATTCGATTCGGATGAGGAAAGTTCTGTCAATCAAGCACAACAAATGGCAAATCAGCAAAAACTAGCCAATCTGCGCAAGCGTTCATCAATCGGCCTGGTTTTCGGCGCACAGGCCGCACTCATTGCTACTCGTAGTAAAGGTAATTTAACCCAATGCTCAATAAATTCCAAATCCAGTGAAGCCATGGCCACAGCGGCTACCGCCACATCCCCCAATCCAACATGCAGCGGTGTACTTATACGCGCGCAAAGCAAAGAAGAGGTTAGTGTACATACAAGCGTGAGTAGCGAACGACCTAAACGTACATCCTGCACGACACTTTCACAAATTGTCGAAACAGAGCGGCAGCTAGATGAGCAGCTCAGAGCGGAACCTACGCCACCACGTTCACGATCCAGTACCGCGACAAAATTACTTGCTGAATCACCGCTTTCACCGGTCGACATCGCGCCTATCGAAGTGCCACGTGACCAAGTACAATCGTGCCTGGTACAAGCCATACTACCACCACCCGAGCAATTCCAATGTCCCACACCTCTCTCTGACTATTCGGACCGACCTTTGGGCGGCAACAGCAGTAACAGCGAACTAAATATGACCTATAACCTACTCACCAATCATTCCGATTTGCGTTTTATGGACGAAAGCTCCGTAATGCTGGCATCACCTACCACTAATGACAGCGTAACCAGCTCATTGCGGCAAGCAATACCACAAGCTGCCGTTGTCATGCGTGCGGAAGTGCCGACCAATCAGGAGCGTGCCAACCAAGTCGTCACTAACCCTAAACTGTTGCAACAGGCGCTGCAAAAGGCTGTAGCTGCGCAGCAGCAACAACAGCAACAGCAACAACCTAAATCCAAAATTACAAGACGTGCTTCCCCACCTGAAACCGGCAATCCACCCGCTCCACCAAATGGTAACACAAATTTCACATCACCAAATGAGCTCGATAATGTCAAAATTGAACGTCACCTTCTTGTTTCCTACACAGGCATGGAGGATTTCGTCAAAGTGCGTCGCGAAAGCTGCATCGAGGCTATTAGTTTGCTAAGCGTCAATGAGCACGCCAAGCTAATTGAAGACAAGGTGATCTCAACGGAAATACGACGCAGCTCCAGTCCGCTAGAGACGAATTCGAAATGTAAAGGCAACGCAACCACCGCCGCCACTACAGTGACGCTCACCATGCAAAATCAATTAACAACAACCATAACCACAACGGTGCCACCAGCGCAACTTGAGAAAATCGATGAACGCGAAACATCCGGGTGCGCCGCAATCAACAACAAGTTGGTCAACACACGACAGACCACAACAAGCAGCACCGATTCGACGGCGCCGCCAGCAACAAGCACTGCACAAATTGACAACACAACCTGCACGGGCTACGTTTCGGGCGCTGGCATCAGCACCACCGGCGGCAGCAGTAGCAGCACCTCGAATACCAACAACAAGCCGTCGAGCATAAAGTCACAGAGAGAAGCGAGCGGTGAAGCGGCCAGCCGGAATTCGAGTAAACGCGCCTTTATGCAATCGATTGGCAAGCACTTCAAGAGCAAAAAGAAAATACCGCTGCTGGTTGGTGGTGGGCGACAAAAATCAAAGTCGGAGAATCGTGCACGCAAAGCGTTTCGCACGATCTCCTTCATACTTGGCTGTTTTGTGGCGTGTTGGACGCCATATCATGTGCTCGCACTGGTGGAGGGCTTCTGCCGCAATCCACCCTGCACCAACGAGCATCTCTATATGTTTTCATACTTTCTTTGCTATGCGAATAGTCCGATGAATCCCTTTTGCTATGCGCTCGCGAATCAACAGTTCAAGAAGACGTTTACGCGCATACTCAAAGGTGATTTTCATATGACTTAAATCTTAAAGCTTGATTGATGTGTGCGGTAGTGAGAAGATTGAATGTTAGAGCGTATGAGTGTGAGAGAACGTTAGTGCTGAGAGTGCCAAGGTGAGAGTGGTTGGCAGCTTACAGAGTACAGCAAAGCGCTTTATAAAGCTTTCAAAACATATCTAATTCTCGCGAAGGTGCCTAAGAGAAACAGACCACTTGAAAGCTTTTATGCAAGCTTTAAAGGCGTGAAAGCTTTTAGCCTTTTATAGTGTTTTCAGAGCTTTTTAAAGTTGAATTTAAAGCTATCATAGCATTGAAAAATTTGCGAAGCGCATTACGGCTTTCAAAGCGTCACAAAGCTTTAAAGCTCCGAGTTGATAATTTTAGAAACTGTTTTCGAATAATCATAGTAAAGATATTGCTTTAATTTTTTCTACTAATTTGTAGCATAATGTTAATCTAAAATTCAAAAAATCAAAATATATTTGGTGACGCTGCTTTGGTGTGAACCCTAATGAGCCCTAGGCACTACCAGTAGACAGCGTTGCCAAATATATGCAAATATTTAGAAATATATTATTTACAAAGAAAGCGTTTCCAAAACAAATCAACTATGAAATATTAACTGTAAACTGCCAGGGCGTATGAGAAGAATGTGAGGTTAAGTATAATGTAAAATAAAGACAAAATTATTTGCAAAAACTATGTAGCTTAGTATGTGTGAGAGCGCGTGTGCTTATTTGTGTATTTAATGGTTCCCTTAGTGCATTATAGTCGGCCACAATAAGCGTGCGTCTTCTTTTGGCAAACCGACAGCGTGGCGTGCGCGGGCCTTAAAATTACGCTGATTTTTAATTATTTGTTCAAATATAAAGTAAAATATTAATTTAAGCAGAAAATATATTTTTTAAAATATATGCTAAGTATTAGAAATGTTAGGAACAATACAAAATTATTTGAAAATAAATATAAATTATGCATATTGTAAGAAAATGTAAGTAAACTTATTTAAATAGTGGCTAGCGAACACAATAACTTAATTATTAGTGTGTAGGGGAATATGCAGCGTTAAGAAATATGTTAATTAAATATGTTTAACAAATTTTAGACAATAATTACTGAAGTAAAAGAGCTGCATATTTTACGTTAAATACTGCTTAAGAAAATCTCAAATAATTAATTAATAAGTAATTATAATTACTTATGTCGAATAAATAATTAATAAATTAAGTAATTAAGTGAAAATTAGTCAAAAAAAAAGTTGTTAAACACAGTCAAACAGTGCGATTTAATGAAATTACATAAGTGTATACTTATTGTTAACACATACATACATATATAAATAATATCAGAAAATTAGCTGTTATTTGTAATTGTCAATATGAGTATACAAATATGGAACATACTTTAGATTAACAAAATAGAATGTAAACGCATGCCAAACACACAAACATACACACCTCTATTGGTAGCTATATACATACAGATGTACATACACATACATAAGTAGCACCCTCAACATATGCGTGTGTGTGCGCATGCATGTCAAAGACAAATAATATGTGCAATAATTAAACACAAACAAACATCTTACTTACTTGCCTATGTGGAACAATAAATAATATTAATTGTAAACACATACAAAAAGAAAAAAAATATAAATATATATAAATAATTATATATAGTAGTTATATATAGTTATAGTTTAAGCTACAGAAGTTATTAGTTTAAAGCATTGCTGTACATACCCACACACTGACATCTGTGTACATGACAAATAATAAAATACATGAAAATAGTAATTAAATTTTGAATAGCTGAATTAATGCAACATAAGACAAAAATAAACTGTACAACCACATTAACATTGATTACACCTCGACACTCCACAAGTATTTAGTTCAAAGGCAGTTGGCTTATGTTTTCACTCGAAAAATGTTTACTTATGCAACAACGTCTACAAGATTGCCTCAAAACAAACTCTTGCATAGTTTAGGGTGTCTTTTAAAAGACATGGCATAATAGTAGAAGACTAGCTGTCAAACAAGCGTTCAACTTTACTTTCTTTCGATTTAACAATTTAATAATAACCTTGTAAGTGCTTTCCTAAAAAATGTTTCAAAATCTTGCAAATTATTCTCTTTGAAAACATCATCTGTGATTAAGCACATTTGTGGCTTAGCAAGTTCGTAAATAAATTAATGAAGTGAAGCGAGACTATCTTCCGTTTGAAACGAAATCCAATATTTTAACTAATATACGGTGTGATAAAAAAAGTATCCGAAAATTGTAAATAAAACGCACCATATTTAATTATTCAGCAATATTTATTCAATCGCTTTCAAAGTAATCCCCACCTGTTGTAATAAACTTATGACAAAGATTTTTCTAGTCCTCGACACTCTTTTCATAAGCACTTTTTGAGATGGCCTTCAGATCCTTCAGCGAATTTTGTTTTATCTCTTCTATCTCTTCGATCGACTGAAAATGGTGGAACCCGACAATTTCAGTTCGGGAAACAGGAAAAAACGCACGTATCCAAATTTGGTGAATAAGGGGGTTGAAATTTAAATTCGGTAACAACCGTGGCTCAATGCGTAGGTGTTTATCATCATGTAAAATTCATGAATTTTTCTTATTTGAAAATATTTTTATCCATTGAACCTTCGACCTCGTCCAAACCAGACACGTCTACAACGATCTCTCGACCGTCTGTGAAAGCTTTGTACCACTCGTAGGTTGTGTTTTGAATCAACGCACACGAAATTTGTTTAGAACTGCTAAATTTAAGACAAATACTTTGTTTAATATTCTAATCCATTGTAAGAATCCCAAGGACCTACTCAGCTGCTGTAAAAAAACTGTTTGAGCGATCGCGCTCCTACTTGGCGTACTACTTAATTAAGAACAGTCCTACCAACTTAGCAAAATACGTTTTCTTGAAATACAAGGAATTAATACTACAATTCCTCGATAGCTGTTTTTCACACATACATGCATGCAGGACATTTTAAATGTTCCTAAGATGCAGTCACGTTCGCTATTTTCCCAAAGCTTTGCTCAAACTGCAAAATTTGTAAAACCCACGAACTAGTAAAATCAAAATATTAACCGTATCTTCACCTTTTCTATGTTTTATTACAAATGAATTTTTTTTAATCCAAAAAACACTTTTTTTTTATTTTATAAAATTAACATTTTCTCTTACTTGTAACACAATATCTACTTTTTAGTTAAAAGAAAATTATCCACTTAATCAAATTTTGATAGCACTTTATAAGCAGAATTCTACATCGCCTGTATTTTTTATTATTAACAGAAAAACTCAAAAGCAGAGTTGGGTGTGAGAGAGAACACTTATGTCATCAAGTATTTAGTTGTATTAAATAATATTTTTTTTTTTAATTTAAATATTAAGTTAACTTAACTAAAAACCAAGAAATACACCAAGGTCAGAGCCATATTTTGTTTCTATGTGTGCTAAATAAGCTAAATATTTGTCCAAATTCACTATAGTGTGCTACTTTTAAGGTACCTTTTTCCATGGTTTGATCCGATATCGCTAACATCAAATGAAAATTTACTCAGATTTATCATAGAGATATCCTTCCCTAGAGGACAATGCATTCGCTATACCCTCGATGCCATTATAAAGCTTTTGAAAATGTCACTTAGTTTGTTCTTGAGAACAAGACTTTAACTAAATTATATTGAGCCTGTTACGAAATCGCTTTAGCCCGCATTTTTCTTCTGCTTTTTTTTTTTTTTTGTTTTTGCAATAGACTAAATAGACTAAAGAATGCGTCACACTCTCTCCCTCTTTAGTTCTATTAAATCTATGTATGTTCTTAAATTGTAAAAACACTAGAGGCTATCTTTTCAACCGTTCCGAGTGCAAACACTCTAACTTAAGTTACGCCCAAAATTATGCTAGGAAAATTAATAGAAGACTAGTGCACAGTGCCATTTAGTTTACGATTTAGCTGACAATATAATTATATTAATTTTGAAGTCCTCAAATTAAAAATCTTCGTTCGATAATCTTTTATTTTTAACAAACTATTTGGAATACGAACGAAAAGAATTTGTGTAGTATTTTAACATACCTAACTTGAAATATATCAATCATATCAAAAAGCTTGATGTTTTCAGAATTTCTCACTACATAATTTTTCAGTCGATATGATCTTCATATCGGAATAAATCAATAAAATTAATAAATGTAAATTCAATAATTTTTTTTTTCATTTTAATTAATGCCTACTGTTTTCAAAATTACTATGGCATATAGTATTTCTTAAAATGCTATTTATTCAAAAACTGCATAATATATTTACATCTAAAAAAACTACATATTTTAGTTTTAAAAGACTCAACCAATTAAAAAGCTCAGTTAATGAAAGATTGCTACCAGCTTATTATCAATATCTGGCTTAAAAAACATTTCATTATTGTTAAATGCCTTACAAAGGCAAGTTTCAATTAGTAATATAATTTATATAATTAATAACACTTAAAATTGGCAGTTCACGACATTCTCATGATAAACACGGTATACACATATTCAAGTACCACAGTCAAAAGTTGCGTATACGCCAAGTGAGAACCGCATACGAACTAAACAATCAGCACAGTCACGGTGCTCAAGCTCATTTTACAACTACTTGCGGTACGTGTACGTACAAAATAAATGATAGCCAAGACACAAACCTGAAGGAACAAGCAAGAAAGCACAACTTTCCCATAAACTTGCAGAAACTGTGTTTTTTTGTAGCTAACACAAATAACTGCAAACACAATTAATGGCAAAGTCAAAGATAAATATTATTGGAGAGATAATTCAAAGCGAAAATATTTGCAAATCAAAAAAACAATCAAAGTTAATATTTACTTCAAGAGTAAAAAATATTTAAAGAAATTCAGGCAGTAACAAAAATCAAAGGGGTGTAAAAATATAACAGAAATGCAATATTACATTGCCGTGCCACATATAATAATCACCACCTTAAGCTAAATAATTAAGGCTATTCATTGGCAAACTGCATAGATTAATATCAATGGCAATTCGTCAGTGATGATCGTTATAACAACAAAAACATAGTGATGAGGAAGCTTCCATAAGTCATGGCATAAATATTTACCACTTGCATATGTCCACAAAATATTAGGCTGAGTAAATATCAATATAGCTGTAGCTGTACATATTTATTAAGTTGCTTAATTGAAATATCTGTATACTTAATTACTTTGTATGCAATTTATGCACCCACTACAGACTTTTATACAAACAAGTTTATATACTCATATATGTAAATATATACAAACATTCAATGCTGCCTACAATTTTAATTACAAATGCCCATTATTTTTTGCATACACTGTAAGAAAATTTAAAAAAATATACATGCATACATATAAAAACAATTTGTCATTAGCTTTAAATGACAAATTGACAAATTGTTTGTCTATGTATGTGTGTATATTTTTTTAAATTTTCTTTTTCTATCCTTTGCAAGACTTATTTGCGATTTTCTACTTTTCTTGTTTTTTTTTCAATTTCCTTTATTTAATATGAAAAGGGAAAATGTAACAAAAAACAATAATTACAATATTAAATAAATGATTAATAATGACTATTATTAGAACAAAAACGAGTCTGCATTTTAATTACAAAAAGGTTCGATTTTTCACCCATTTAAGTTATATGAAATTTATACCATAAGCAATTTTCAAGCACATCCGAGGAGTTTATAGTACTATCGTGCACTAGTACCTTTGTTTATTGAAATTGAATATGATGACTTATATTGATGATTTTATATTAAA